GAAAGAATTAAATACAATTTCGAGAATAGAGAAGAAATTTTTGTATATTCCCCTTCTTTTCTTCTTCCAATTTTTTTTTTTTTTTTTTTAGTAAAATGTAATTACGCATACATAATTCAAACAAATTTTCTCCCGACAGAGACCTATGTAAATTCTGGTTATTTTCTCCGACTCGTGGCAAAATTACCGGTTACACGATGACTACCGCATTGGAAAACTTCATCACCACCACCCATCAGGATTTTAATTGGCCGTATCCGATACCCCTTGTTGTAAAACCGGCGCAACCGCCGATGAACACGGGAATCCGATTATACATGCCCAGGATCGACCCCGAGGACTGCCCTTGCGACGAACATGGCCAAAAAATTGACAAAATCAGGTGATGATGATACCGTGTCCAAATGGAACAATCTCATAATTTATGGAAGAAAATAATAAAAATAATTTGTAACTAAAATTAAATCGATACACATCTGAATCTGTTCGTTGAAAGAAAAGTTAAATCTTACAAGTAAAATCTTAAATTTCTTCGTGATCGTCAGATACAAATACCTAGCCGATAAGGAACGGCTGTTTTTGGATCAATTGAAACAAGTGAATCGTGAAATGGTCAATCTCACGTCGACCATGTTGGACGATACCTGCAGTTCGATGGATGAGACGATGAAGAGTGTTTATAAAACGGATTACGCGAAAAGGGGTAGGGATGATGATCGTTTGAAGGGATAATAAAAATAATCAGATAATTCGATTCGATTTCAGGATTGCCCATCAAAGAGTACAGGCAGCTGAAGGCTGCGGTCGACTCGGCTTACTGTTCACCGTTTCCGGAGGAAGCCACCGAGATAAAAGAGGGTTACAGAGATCCAACGAGATTTCGATATACGGCCATCGAGAGACCACACATTCAGCCAGCCAAAACGATCACTTTTTGCCAAGGTATTCTCTTTTCGTTTTTTTTTTTTTTTTTTATTATCGTCATCCACGCGAAGAACGAGGCGAAGATGTATATATTAATCATAGTTCCAGAATTATTCTCTGTATGGGACACACCTTTCACCGGCCGTTCAGAATATATGGATACGTTTAGTAAAATGGGTCTAAGCAACATGAAAAGTCAACAACAATACTTAGAACCGCAACCCTCGTCGAGAAGAAGATTAGGAGATTGCAAATTATAAAAGTTATTTGATTATATATAAAAAAAAGAAAAAAATATATCTCTCTCATCCAAATGTCGAAACTGTCCATTTTTCACGGAATTAACTATATAAATATTCGATTGGATAACGAAAAAATTTCGTATATCATCTCTTGTCCGTCACATATTCTCCTAATGAATTTTCTTTTTTGATCCATATTTTTCTTTTCTTTTTTTTTTTTTTTTTTTTTTAATCCATAAGAAACGATTCGACGAAGAATTTGATGCATTACATTAAATTTTATATAAAAAAAAAAATCTGCCGATTCAGTTCATAGATAAAACAACTGGTTTAGGAGATATTTATTTAATTATCTATGAAATGCCTGGTATGTTTTTTTTTTCTCACGTCCTTCTACAAAAAAGATAATAACATCAAAATTCGTTGAAATCAATCAATGTTTGCTTGAAGCAATTTTTTAATATTATGAAAAATAAACGAGATATTCTGGATACAAAATTATATAAACGAGATGCTGAATTCTAAGGATTAAAAGAATTATTGAAAAAATACTAGAAGATAGTAGTTATTATAAAACGTAAGTATATAAAAATGAATATCTTTAGAATTAAGAAAACTATTGAATCCAAAGAAAAAAAAAAGTGGATATTAATTAATATTTGATATTTTTCCATTTTATTTAATTCTAATTATTAGGAATAATATAGTATGCCGTTTTATTTATTTACTTTTTTTATTATTTATTATTATTTATTTTCACATTAATTATGTTTTTAAGATGTTATATTCCAGAAACTGAGAAAAAAAAAATAATATATATATATATATATATATATATCATATATTATATAAAAATTAAATAGAATACAAAAATACATTCTATAAATTATATGTATATATATAAAAATATATAAAATAATTCATAAACATCAAATATAGAAAAACTAATTTATATATTTAAATATATGTAGATAAATATATGAAATATATATGCATAAAAATTTACATTTAAAATATGTATATATATATATTTCTATGATACATAAAAATATAAATGTATAATAAAATATATATGAAATAAATATTAAACAAAAAATTAATATATAAAACATATAAAACATAAATTGAATCGAATAAATTTTATTAAGGTTTTTAATCAATAGATTAGATTAGAAAATAATAAAGATAATCACGTATAACGGAGCCATTTGAATGTATAAAAATAGACAAAGAGAGTAAATAGTTAGAAAAAGATAGAGATAGAGTAAAAATATTGAAATCAACGCCATCTTCAGAGTGCCGCAAATGAAACTCACGAAGAAAGGACAGAAGATAGTTAGAAAAGGATAGAAATAGAGTAAAAATTGAACTGCTGGCGCCATCTCTCGAATATTTAGAAAACCTTTCCTCAAAGAGTTTCTCTTAACATTTAAAAGATGGCGCTGAACTTAAATTCTTAATCTACTTTATCCTATCTTTTAAAAAAGTGTCTTCGGTACCCGAGAGATGACGCTGACGGTCAATTCTTATTCTCTATCCTTTTCCCACTATTTTCTATCCTTTTTATTTATGTTTAATTTGCGGCACTCTGAAGATGGCGCTGATTTCATAATTTTTACGTATCTCCATCTTTCTTGCATCATTTGTTCTCCTTGTCTAGCACGTTCTATTTGATTTTAGCGCGCGATCACACGAAATATAAATCGAACATACTTTTATCATTTTTCTTTCGAAAATAATGTGTCTTAATCTTTAATGGAGGCAACAAAAACTTAATATCATCTAGTTTTATTGAAAAATAACAAAATATTAATTCAAAAATTAATTTAAATTTATAGTTTAAAATCAATATTTAAAACATTTCTTCGAAATAGTTGCTCTTATTACTTAAAAGATGACGCTGAACTTCGATTCCTACTCTATCTTATCTTGTTTTTGAAAAAGTGTCTTTGATACATAAGAGATAGCGCTGACGGTCAATTCTTCTATTTTTATTCTTTTCTATTATATGTTCTCTTTATGTAAATTAGTTTCATTTACGGCACTCTGAAATTGGTGATGATTCTAATATTTTTACTCTATTTCTGTTAAAATCAAAACGGGATATGGATATATGTATTCGTATCTATTAGAAATGTATAATGTAATAAAAAAATTATATTAAAAAAATGTATAAATTAAAAATTACGTGTATTAAAATCTGATTTCATATATTACACAATATTTAAACACAATAAAATATGTTAGATATTTTTAATTTGTAAAATAGGTTAGTTATTTTTAATTTCTTATGTTAGTGAATATTTTAATTATTTTAATTAATTGAAAAATATATATATACATAAAAAAAATACGACCTAAAAAAAACATATGATTATCTAACATTTATTTATCATTGATTATAACCAATTAAATATGAATTGATCAAATTATATATATTATTATATACTATTTTAAAACATCTTATATTTTTTCTTTTTAATCGTTTTATTAATAATTAAATATTAAAAACTATTTGAGACAATGAGCAATTTTTGTGAATTTTTTCCTACGGAATATAATCGTAGTTATAGAAAAAAGAAAATAGAACCAGCTAAAATGTAATAAAATTTTTAAAAAATGTACAGATAATATTACAAAATATGAAATTTTAATATCCGAATTTTACATTTTTAGAATATATTATGAAGATTATTTCACGAATCGTATAGAGGAAGGAGAAATCGATCCTCGTATAGCATCGATTCCTAAAGAATTGGATGAAACTGCTAAACAATTGGTTTATAAACATATTCTTAATAATCTGCAATCTGTTTATCAAATCAACTATAAAAATCCTTGTAAGCTATGTTATATGACGAATAGAACAAATAATTTCTTTAAAAAATTAATTCATAATGAAGTATAGGGATTTCACGAGATGAAATAGAAATTGAGGAAAAGGAAAAAGAAAAAGACTTACAGAGTGAACTATTGGCATATATTCATGATTTATATTTCAAACCTCATACAGAAAAAGTCCTTGCACCTCCGGTAACAGCAAAAAGAAGTGAGTGGAAGATAGATATTTTACATATAATTTTCGAAAATTTCAACTTTACTTAATTTCAATTTTATTTAATATTTTATAAAAATAAGTTTAATATATATATAAATATATTTAGTGCTTGGTTACATAAGACCACAATTATTACATGCAAATCTTTCGATGTATCAACACACGTTTAATCGTACGGGAGCAACAGTGATAATGGAAGGATATGAAAATAGAAATTCCAGAAAGAAAAAAATAGAAGAAACAAAAAATAATGATAAAAAACTTTGTACGAGTTCAGATTATGAAAATTAATAATTTAATTTTTTTATTATTCATACATACTTTTTCGTATTTTCATATAATTTAATATATAATATCAGCGATTATTAAATTATTGTAAATTAAATATATAATAAAAATACTTCTTATGATATTATTCCATAAATGAAAATATATCTAAAAATAATTTATTTATTTATTTTTTAATATAAATATGTATCTAACATTATTACATAGATTTTATGTATATTTTTGTATTCTTTTTTATGTGGAAAAATAAAAATATAAAAATATTTAAAAATCTAAAAATTAAATAATATCTATAATTTACATTATATAATTCTTTTTTAATTTAAGTAAGATTTCAAAAATGATTTCTCATTGTTACAACTATGCAATAATACAGAAGCAATTTTATTTATTAATCTTTTAAAACATTCAAAACATTAAATAACAAAATAATATTTTCGTCATATTTCAATCATCGTTATTTTAAAATTATCTTAGTGTACAGTATAATTTTTAATGATTATATGTATGTCTCTATATGTTCCATATGGTATCTACACAAGTAAACTGATTTTCCTTGTGTCATGGCATAATTAATTTGTAAATATACTACGCAGTAAATACAAAAATCTAAAGATGTTACGAGATGTTTTAATACATTTAATCATAAGTTTTATCGGCGTAATTATTGCTATATCAGCATTTATCGTATTTTTTATTGTATATAACAATGTCGACGTTGGATTTTGGTCGATCTTATCAGGTTAGCAGTTCTTTTAATTTTACATGATAAACTTTTATTATAAACTATCTAATAACATTTTATAATACACAAATTAATTATAAATTGGTAAAATTTTATAATATAAGAAATAAATATGTAATTATATTAACAAGTTTTATTTATCTATTATTTTTTATAACAATAAAAATTATCTGTCTTGTGCACTTTGACCACTATATTTTACCTATAGAACTTTGTTTTTTCATTTAAAAGTTATGTAATTTTCTTTTTAATACCTTTTAATATATACATTATTATTTTCTATTTTGTTCATTTTAAATATATTATATTTTGTAAATATTATTACTATAAAACTTCTATATTATCAATGCTAAATATAAACGATTTATACAATAAAAAATATTTTTATTAAATTAATTTGAATTTAATAAAAATTTAATATTAAAATTGCATTTTTATATATTACACAGGTACATTAGCTGCAGTTTGTTTTCACTTGCACTGGGTCAAAGGAAAAGAACGTTTAGAAAGATGGCATTCTCAAATTACATTAAGAAATCTAAATATTATTGGTTTTATAAATGCAGTGGCAGGAATTACAGCGCTAATTTGGTATCTCTTTCTCACATTTTATTATAAAATACGTAAGTATATTATTTAATTTCTTTAAATGAAAACTTTATTTGCTTATTTTTTATATATGTTTTATTATAAATTTTCTAATCAAATATATATAAAATAAAAATAAATAATAGTAATGTATTTTTCTAATATTAAAATTACATTTTTTACAGCAATTAAACCTATTGATGAAAGTACAGTAATATCAGCTGTTTGGTCTATGATTTGTGGAAAATGGGGTATTTTCTTAATGTATTATACTCATAAATATGAATTAATTATTCGAGAAGGATCTGTACCCATATTAATAGAAAATAATGATTAAAATTTTTTATATGAATAAATACAAAAACTTTTATAAGAAATAGTTTATTAAAAGTAGTTATAATATAAAAAAAATGTTTTATTAATAAATAAATATATTTTCCTAATTATGATATGAAGTTAAATATACATATAAATATATTATTCCTCTATATTATTTTACTTCTTTTTTATAAAATAAAATTGAATTTTTAATATTATATATTATACTATATTTATATTTTTAAGAAATTATCATTATTTCATTATTTTATTATTTAAAAATTTTACAGAATATAGATTACAATATATTATTTAAATATCACAGTATAATTGTTTGTATTTATAATCATTGTATATCAAAATGCATAAAAAAATATAGAAGTCCATATAAAAATACTAATTCAATTTTAATGATATATTATTTTTTTAATTTAATAATATAAAATATTTTATAATTGTATAAACATCATGTACATAAAAAAAATATATATATATATTATGTAAATTATTTTTAAGCTGGTGTCAGCTTATACAATGGATAAATTAATGTATAAATACTGACAATTGAAGATATCATACCAAGTATACCAATTGTTCCAGGAGTTAATTTAGTAAAACCAAGTGCTGTCAATGGAATAAACATATCACAGCCATTTTTAATTGTATCTATAACAATACTTTTATGATTCCTTAGATGATACAATAATTCATATTGTCTCCATAAATTAGATGAGAATTTTGGTGCTCTCATTAATACATCTTTTCCTTCGGTTTCAAGAATTTTTATGATTTCATAAATATCTCTTGTAAGATTCATAATAATATTCATTAACCAATACTTATTAGCTATTTTACTCCATTTTTCTATATTAACTCTAAGTAATCCTACACGACCAATCCAAATTATATGATCTGCTAATAAAAACAGAGCATTGGCAATTTTTGATAGAGTCAAAGTGACTCTAATGGTTACTTCTGGATATTTCATCATTTTTAAAGCAGAATATAAACTGTCCAAACATCTCCCAAGGCGTAACACTATAAAAAATAAAAATAATATATTGATAACAATAATAATTACATTAAAATAATAAATATCAATTTAAAACAATAAAATACATTTTCTAAAAGAACTAAATGTATATTCTAAACTTCTTAAAATTTCTGCAGAATTTTGTGTACTGTGACTTTTCTGAGCATAATACCAATAAACTCTGCTTCCATATTGTAATAATCTGTAAAAATAATTATATAATATTAATTTTGTGTATTTATTTAGTTAATTATACAAATAATTAGAAATACATTTCTAATTTTAAATATAATTAATATATATTTTTATATATTAAAAAAATTAATATATACTTTTATATAAAATTTTATTAAAAATATTTTTGAGTACATCATAATAAGAAAAATAAATTACAATATTCATGAAGTATAATATTAAGTAATAGAATACAGGTTATGTTAAATAGAAAAATTTAATATTATACTAATGAAAGACAATAAAAAAGAACTTATATATTTAAATATATTTAAAAAATAAATAAATTGTATACCTAATAATTCTGTCTCTGCCTATTGTTTGTTCATTTAGTTTTATTATTATATCCATAACGCGCTTTCAAATAGCGTAAATTATACTTAAAGAATATAATTTTTTATTTAAAAGAGATTTACAAATTCCGCACTGTAACGTTTTTATTTATAAGCACATATAAACAATTAAAATATAAATTATTAATATTATTACACACATATATGAAACTTAACCCAACAAATTAATGTGCAAAGTTCTAAGCTCTAATATCTAAAGACTAATGACATAATTTTTTATATTCATAATTATGATATTGCAACGTAATCTCGAACTTTGTTTTATAATACTCATAACATACTTCAAGTAAAATTGATTGGCCAAGTTTATACACAATAAATGCATAAAATATATTTTATGTCATCAGCGCCATTGAATATTTGATTTGACAAACCCGCCATTTTCAAATACTTTAAATATAGTCATCATGAAAGAATAAAATTAACATCAATATTAAATTAAATTTCTTTAGATAAACATATTAACTATATTACTTACATAGTTATTTCTTTTATGAAAATGAATTCTGATGAAAGATGAAATTTGTTATTAATGAATGAAGAATAATGTTAAGTACATTTGGAGTATAAAAATGGATATAAAATGAAGTGCATGCAATAATAAATATTACATAAAATGATGAAAAAAAATGAAAGCATAATTTATATAACAATAATTGTACTTTTAAAAAGCTGAAAAGCTAGTTTTCCCTATTTATGAATTAATAAATTACGAATTAATTTATTGTAGATAAGTCTCACAGAGAATGAAGAAAAACACATACAAAATGATGATTATGATTGTTTATCATGAGATAAAGAATCGCGCACATATGATATAACTGACATTGCTCGTCCTTTATATCTGAATCCTGGTGTAAGTAAAAGAATATTCACTGTAACATTCCAATAAAATAAGACAGTTATTTATATATTCATTATATAAAAAAATAATTAAATAAATTATTTAAAAAGTTATTACCTGTTATATAAAACAGCAGCAAATTATTAATTGTGCTTCCAATCCATATACAAATAATGAGACAAGTTATTATTCCTGCATAATACTGCAGCATATAAAAAATAGTTTATGACAAATTTATAACAGTTTATATTTTCCTTGTAAACATTTTACTTAATATTTATTATTTAAATATTAAATTCATTAAATTTAACTTACAACATTAGGACGATCATTTCTTGTCTTTAACATTAATTTCCATAAACTCTGTAATTGTAAAATTATGATAGATAAATTTTGACAAATTTCATTTAGTTTTTTCTCTTTCTGGCCTGTCCATTTATTAACAGGACTTAGTAAAGATGATACAGGTGGTACAAGATAATCAACCAAAGCCAATATAAGAAGAGAAACAGATATTATTGTAAGTATAGCAGGTTCCAACATCCATATCAAACTATAAAAAACAATATATAACATATAAAAATAATTACTAACTGGCATAGTATATAAATTTTATTTTAAATTTAATATTAATTTTCATTATTTTAATATTAATCATTATTTTATATATCATAATATATTAAAAATTTTTTAAATGAAAAATTTAAAAAACTAGACTATAAATATATTTTTTATAATATTATAATATTATAAAATATATAATATATAAAATAAAATAATTTAATTTATAATAGAAAATACATAAATTTTTTATATTTTCACTTACAAAAATATTGTGGTTGTAATTCCAAGTATAAGACCAGGATACCAAGATCGTTCCCATAATAAAATAGAATTTAATGGAAGTATCACTTCACGCCAACATTCCATTCTACGTTTTAATTGTTTCATATGCTTTTCCTGCAATTAGAGTATATTATTTCAGAACAAAAATGAGTGTCACTGTCATTGATTTTTCTACCAGTAGGATTATATGATTTGATATGTAAGAACCTGTTTAATTAAGTGTTAAGTAAAATATATTAATTATATTTTAAATATTCTATATTTTTAAAAAACATATAAAAATCGTACCCTCTCTATTGCTGCACTATCAGCCATTCTAGCTATTAAATAAAATATTCAAATTCGCTCTGAAGAAGCAATATATTAAGACAAAAATTTAAAAATACGTCCAAGTTATAGTACAATGCAAACACAATATCCAGACTTATATTCCATTTCATTCAAATATTTACTTATTCTTTAATTTAATTATGTGATGTGTCTTTAATAAAAGTCCGAGATGCCGGATACTTTTTGCTTGAAAACACACGAAATGATGAAGAATCGACTTCTAGTTTCGAGATTATTGTAACTCGCACGCGATTGGCTATCAGTTCAAAATGTTGGTTATTGTAGGCGATACTGTGCTGATGTTGTGACGTTAAAGATTTTCTAACAGTATACCTTAAACAATCGCGTCTTAAACGCGTTTAGTTGAAATTTTATTCAAAATTTGCTAAATATGGCTGCTGTAAGTTCTGTGAGTACTTAATAATATATACTAATTTTAGTTCGCAATCTTTTAACAGCGGTACTTCTTGTTTATATTCTGGTTAAGGAAATAAATTTCTCTCAATATATTTATCATTGAGTAATAAATTATCTGTCTAATTTATTTTTTTAGATATCAAATGTCGAAAATCTATCTCCACAAATTATTCGACGTGTAGCTAAAGAAATGAGTGAATTAGCTGCACAACCACCCGAAGGTATTCGTGTAATCTTAAATGAAGAAGATGTTACTGACATTCAAGCTATCATAGAAGGACCCTGTAAGATTAAAGCTCTCACAATTATTCTTTTTATAAAATTTCAATCAATTATTCTGGACTGTTTAAGAAGTTGTATAATTTTTAAATTATAACCTATTCAAATGTCAGATTTTACATGTATATACAAATATGTCTATATTTATATATGTACATATACATATACAAATTTGTTTTTATCAATTATAAAAGAATATTATTTACATAATTAATTAAAATTGTACTTACTCACATGCAATATCACATAGATAATATTTTTTTATAATATAATTTTTAATATTTTACTTAACTGTTATTACAAGTTTTTATCTAACATTATTTAGTTTATATAATTTCTATACATATATAATGATTGTTTCATCTATTAAGATTTGTGTTTATCATAATATTTATAAGTTAAAAATTTAAATTCTTCTAATACCAGCGGGAACGCCATATGCTGGCGGTTTCTTCAGAGTAAAATTAGCTCTTGGAAAAGACTTTCCTCAAGGACCACCAAAGGCATTTTTCCTTACAAAAATTTTTCATCCAAATGTTGCAAAAAATGGAGAAATTTGTGTCAATACTTTAAAAAAGGATTGGAAATCAGATCTCGGAATTAAACATATATTATTAGTAAGCTATTTATAAATAAAAATATTTAATTGTAATTAATATAACTGATACAAATTATTTAATTAATTGATTAATATAAATAGCATATCTAATTATTTTATATTTACAGACTGTAAAATGTCTCTTAATAGTGCCAAATGCAGAATCTGCTTTAAATGAAGAAGCTGGTAAATTACTTTTAGAAAGGTATGATGACTATTCAGAGCGAGCAAAAATGATGACAGAAATACATGCACAGGTATATATACATACACACACACACACACATACATATATATAATGATAATGTATAATCAAGTTGAATTTCATATATATAGTGATAGATAATAAAAAGCAAATTTATGATTTAGGGAGGTGGAAAAGGTAGCAAAGCAGGTTTGGAAAGTTGCACATCCTCTGAAGTTGGAGGACCTCTGCCTAAAAAGCATGCAGGAGATAAAAAACTATCAGCAGAAAAGAAAAAAATATTAAAAGATAAGAAGAGAACACTTAAAAGATTATAAAAGAAAAAATCAACATAATTTATCTATCTTTTATAATTTAAAACACTGGCGTGGTAACGTTGCCTCATATTGTACACAATTATTGCATAGTAAAAATTTATTATCTAAACTCGACTGATCTTATTATTAAGTATTTAGAAAATTAATTCTAGAAGCATTAAAAATGACTTCCTAAGATACAAACAAGTACAACTTTGTAGTGATCTACTTTACAATCAAGAGTGGAAAATAACATATACCACTCTATGGTATCTATTAGTGAATATTTTTACATATGTACAAAATGATACCTCGTGTGACTATTTAAATTAATAAAAAATGTTCTTCAAAAAAATATTTGTTTTTTTTTTTTTAACAACCATAATTATCAAGTTTGCATATTAAATATAGTTAAAATGAAAATTGTCTTTAAGAAAGATAAAATATAAATCTTTGATTAGATGGGAATAAAAATTATTTCATTCTCAAGAACATCGTTCTTTATTAGGTAATAACTCGTCAAACTTTCTTTGCTTCAGTCTTGTACCACTGCATTGCCATTCATACGCTGTATGAATAAAACCATGTACATTGTCTTACAAGTCCATTACTGCACAGTAAAATGTTTTATTAGTAGATGACTAGAGGATAACGGTGTCACAGCCTTATTCCACTAGAAGCTATTAGCTACACATAGTGGTACTTTATATTATTCATAATAAAAAACAATTCATTAAAATTTACATAAATCTGATGCTACTAAACATAGTAATACACATACACATGTTATAAGGTGTCCAATGTATAAACTATGTTCAAAGATGGGTTCCTAAATATTTAATATTTAATTATTCATAAAAACTAATTAGATTGAGGGCTAGAAGCACTTCTGTAGTTTGATAAACAACAACTTTTAAAGATGAATTTTACTGTATTTTTCATCTGATAACCACACACGCACGATAGTACATACAAATCCATACAGTCTTTACATCATTAACTTTTTATTATCTTTTTTTGTTTTTGTTACGGTATCATAAAAAAATCTATGAACTCCTACAAATCATTTTTCTTAAATGTCTGTAAAAATTGTATGCCAATTTTCAAAGAAACCGTCAAAAATAAAAGAGCCATTTATAAGAGAAATTTTTTATAACATTTTTCTAATGATATAGTTATACTTATTTTTATATATTCTCATGAAAATTAGGGAAACACATTGTATCGTGTTAAGTCAGATCAAAACAAAATGTTAAAAATGTGAAGGTTTGTGACGTTGTTACTTTACTTCTTTCACATAAGCTTCCAGTTCTGCATCTAATTCTTCGGCGGTAGGAGTTTTTGTCGCTTGTCGACTGCCCCCTCTGCCACCACGTCGGCCAGTTCCACGACCTACAAAAAGAAGAAAAATATATTAATACATTTTTTAAAAAGATAAATTACTTATATTTTTTAATGTAAATCAATTACATACCTCTGATGGATCCTGCTCCACGGTTACCCCTAAAGCGGGACTGAGGTCTCTGTGTATAATTACTGCCGCTAAGTCTCGGGCCTCCACGGATAGATGTGACTGGTATTTCAGAGGTAGCAACTTGTATGTTCATTTCACGACCTGCCGATGTATACCACATATTGCAATAATAGATGTGAATAGTTGTGCAAATCATAATTCACAATAACTTCTTTGAAATTTGTTTTTCTTTAATGTCATCCCATGTTGGAGTATTTATGGAAGGATAAAAGAGAAAATGCTCAAACTGTATGTTGCTAGGTATAAACTGGAGACCAGATTAATAAGTGATACTGAAACCCTAAATATAGGCGGAATTTCATAATTAAAAAGAGACATTCAAAGCAAAACTTATAGTCCAGACATAAATTTAACTACACACCATCTAAGGGTACGCCATTATATTGTTTCATTGCTTTAATAGCATCTGCTCTTCTTTCAAATATAACATCTGCAGAGCCTAATGATCGACCTGACCTATCGTAATGCACTGCTGCTGACTTTAAGGGGCCAAATTCACTAAATAATTCCTAAAGAAACACACAAATATACAACATTATTATAAAAATATTTATATTATATTTAATAATTAAATATATAATAAATAAATAATATTAAATAATTATACAATATTAAATATTTTAATTTCATTTTTTTTAAATTGAAATTTTTAAGAACAAAATTTATATTTCTTGTAAATTTTAAATTGAAATTTATATTTATTTTAATTTAATTAATATTAAGATAATTATTATATTAATTTATTTATAATAATTTTAATAATAATTATATAAATAATTATTTTATTTTATATTAATAAATTTTTATATTTTATATTAATAAATTTTTATATTTTATATTAATAAAAATATTTAACAATTTTATATAAGATACCTGAATATCTGAATCTGATACTCCAAAGTCAAGATTTGATACAAGAAGCTTGGTTGTTCCTGCGCTACCTATTGCACTTCGGCCAACCTTTTTTACTCCATCAAACATGTCGTGTTTCCATGCACTGTTTACATCACCCTATAAATGAGATTATAAAAAGGTATATTTCTTATAATATAAGTATTCAAATATTAATTTCATGTGCATTTTAAAACTAAAATTTAAATTAATAAAAAATATTTTATATGTTATTTATTAAAAATTTTGATTTTATTATTTTTGATCTTATAAGTTCTGTTTTTATATTAATATTCAAATAGATAAACAATCAAATGTATAAAAAAAATAATACACATAAACGTCCTTAAAATCATTAAACGATTCTATTATAAAAACGCATAGTTCAATAATTTTTTCAAGAACTTAAACTGAATAATCTTTTACAATAAATAATATATCAATATAATAGAACAAAAATTATATCAATCATATTCTTATTTCATAAAATATTGTTTGACTTTAAAATACGATCGTTAATCTATCTACAGATTAAACTATTTCGTGCATAAGATAAAAATAATATGATAGTTTTTGATATATGATACACGTGGCAAAGTAAATATAATGTAAATAGCAATAAGAAATAGAAATAATTTCTTACCCTTGTGTATGGAAGAGAATTTCTTGTAATGCCACCACGATTGCGTCCCCGCATGACGCCACCAACTCTTTGCGTTCTGCGTGCTCCTCTACGAGGTGAATTACCGGCACCTCTTCCCCGTCTGCCAGTACCGCCACGTGGTCTACTTCCTTTATTTTGCTTGATAATATCATCAAGACTCATGTCTATTTTATCAACCATCTTCATTTGTGCTGATTTTCGAGTAATGACACGGCCACGCGAAAATGAATAAAACCAACCTCTTTCGTCTTCGTAATGATGGCGGCGAACGAAGACGAAACAAGCGCGCACAGAAACCTGGGAATAAAGACCGTAGATCATAGAATGATTCCTTAGAAACACCAACTGTATATATTATAACTGTATCCTTTATCGATTAGAGCGCTCTCTAGTAATAAATTATCAAAACAAAATAACAGTAACTTTTTGAAATTAATATTTAAATAAATATTACTTTTTATTAATAAATTATATTTTTTAAATTAGATTATAATAATATTTATTTAATTTAATTATGTACACAAATATATTTCTTTATTATAATTTTATATTATTATATATCAGTGTACATACTTATATTTATTTTAATATCAAACAAAATTAAATAAAAATTTTATTTTTTTAGAGAAATGAACTTATATTTCAAATTTATTAATATTTATTTATTTAAATATTTTTTTGTACTTTATTTCTTTCTTAAACATATTACATTATTTATTTTATTAGATTAAAATAGTATATTTAAGTTTTAATCTTTTGAATATCAAAAATATATATACAGATACAAATGTATCATTTTTTCCTATATAATTATTACAGCTCATCATGTTCTTCATCTATATCATTTTTTTCAATATTATCATAATTAATATTTGAAGAATTGCATAAGTTTGCAATATTTGTGCATAACTGTTCATTAATATCATTTTTTTTATGAATAAATAATGAAATTATAGAGTCTTCAAATTCTTCTACTATTCCTTCACACTAAAATAAAAAATAAAAAATATTAATTTATATAAAATTTGAATCATTTATTGTATATTTCCAATAAAATCAAAATACTTACATAATATTTTAAACTTTTATTTAAATCATCATCTTGAATAATATCAACTTTACTCATTTCAGGATTCATAGCACCAGATGGACTTATTAAATTTAAGATTGTTAATTCACCATTTGATTTATATGTTGCTCTTACATAGTCTGACATTTTCTCACAAATATTATCCAAAATATCTGATACATGTACTTCAGATTGTGCAAGAGGAATCTTTAAATTATTTAAATATTTATTTGAAGCATGTTTTGACTATAATATAAAAATTAAGAAAAAAAAATTATCTCTTATTACCTTTTTATGAATGATATTTCCTTGTGCATCTAATCTGTAATTACCTATTTCAATTTCTCTTGCAGGATCAATTTTTGCTAATTCTCCTTCAATTTCTTTCACTGTTGATCTACAAACTATATATTATAAATATTAATTTATTATAATAGTTTGTTACTTAAAGTAGATAATTATAATTTGTTATAAGTTAATATTAATTATTTAATTAATTAATTAACACTTGTGCTTTAGCTTACCTAAACATTTTAAAAGCTTATTATCAATTTCCTTTGATTCAACAAAAATATTTATAAATAAAAGAGAAAATATTGTTAAAATTTTCATCTACAATGAAAATATTAATAATAAATAATTATATTAAAAATAATATAATATTAAAGTAAAAAAAATTAAATTAGAAAATTTAATTTATACTTACATTATATTTAATTAACATGTTAAATGATATTTAATTAATTTATAAAATAAAATATTCAATTTTTTTTTGATTGAAAAAGACACGTGTATGATACTTATAAGAGCATATACGTATACAATATATATGTTATCTGTCATTGCATGTAGTCTATAACATTAAATTCGGCAAAACACGAATGAGCTATCATCACGTGTAATGTCGAGAAATACCAAAATAAAAATATAAAAATACTATCAAACTGAAAAAATAATATTATTCAAAGATAAGATAGAATTATATAATAGAATTTTTGAATATTTTATAATTATATAAAATTTTATATTATTTATACAAATATACATTATATGTGGAAATACAAAAATTTATTTATTGTTTTTTTACTATCTTTTAAGAATCAATTTTAAATAATTTAATCTTAAAAAATTGGAATTTTATTATTCAAATATAATATTAAAACAAATATTTTTTTTCTTACTTATTTTTTATTTCTTAAAAAATTTTATATAGAAATATATAAGTAATATGTATATATATATATTCTTCATAGACTTTGAAGTTCATGGATCATTCCATTTATTACTGCGATGTAAACACGTGCCACCCTTTTAAGTGGGAAGTCCATGTTGCTTTTTAAATTGAACTATCATGTTTTAATATTTTATATAAAATTACATTCACTTATTATACATTTTGAAATGTTTCTATATAAATAGTGATTATAATTTTACTCTTTTGAAATTTATATTTGTAGTTTAACTTTTAATATAATAGATAAAATAATTATGCAAAAATATTACAAATATAATGGAGATACTAATAAAAAAAGTGTATAAAAATTTATAAAGTTTTTAGTAAAAATTGCTTATATATACTACATATTTTATTCAGTGATTTATAATTAAAAATAATGCATTAAAAATTTATTTTTACTAATTACTATGCTAAATTTGATGTTTTTGTGATTTTTCCAATTTAAAAATTGTTTAAAAAATAAAGCTATGATATTGTATGATTTAGATAAAAATTAAGATAATATTGTGCTTCAGTTTTTTATATTAAATATGACTTAAATTATAACATAATTTTCAAAATGGAAATGTGGTGGTTTTCTCGAGTAATAGCTCATCATCCGTATACCATTCTAATGATAATACTTATTTTTTCTTCAACATGCTTAATTGTTCCCTTAGCCATTAAAAAATTTCCAGACTTCTCAGATCCTCAGTTAGTAAGTATATATAATTAAAATATAAAAATAATATATATAAAATAATATAATATTTTCTCTACATAATATATAATATAATTTATATTTTTTTATAATGTTAAAGGGATTTGAAGCAAGAGGTACAATATTAGCACAAAGACTTATTGCTTGGCAAAATTTATTAGAATCAAATAAACCAAGAGGACAATTAGTCGATAATCCTTTAGAATATTATCATTATGTGCAACAATTAAATCAACAGGTATTTTTAATAAGAATTATGATATATAAAATTACATGATATATTATGATATATTATTTAATTATGTATATTTAAGTTGTTTTATAAATATATTTAAAAAATAAGTAATTAAATCAATAATCTAATATTATAATATTTTAGAATTTACAGAATCCTGTTATACAAAATTATAGTTGGATTGAAAAAAAACCTAAAAATAAGAAAAAAGGAGGAAAGAAATATCAAAAACAAATTAATAAAGAAGAAATAGATAAAATTGAAATTAAAGATAAATGGGAAGAATTAATAGAGTTAAAAAACAAAAATAAATTAGATATGACAAAGGATTATAAAAGTCAAGATTATATTGATAATGAGAATTTTTTTTGTAATTTGCCATCTTCTGCTTATGCACGTATTGTTATTGGCAGAAACTCTAAGGATTCAAATTTATGGTCAATGGAAGGTGTATTAGCTCAATGTTATATTGATGCAGAACTTAGATCAAATTCACATTTTTCTTCTTTATGTCAAATGTCAGTAGAATATAATAATTCAAGACAAAAATGTTGTAGAAGTTGGTCTCCAGCAAATTATGTTGCACTTCTATCTAATCGAAGTTCTTGTTTGGGTGTGACAGAGAATGACCTCAGTCGTGTCGAAACTCTTTTAAAAAGATGTATTTATTTTTACCAAAATCGTCGTTTAACATCAAATTGTGCAGAAGACTTAAATTGTCAAAAACATGTTCCAACTGAATGCTATATGCATAATGCAGCATATCATTTGTTACATTATTTATTGGATACTGATTTTATTTCGGATCGTGTAAGAAAATTAATTTCTATATATTTCTGTATATTTTTCTATATAATGTGAATTATTATGAATACCAAAAATAATTATTTATTATATTTATTATATTTTTTTTTAGGAGCAAGATCCTCAAAATAAGTTAAATTCAACATTAAAATATGCGATGTTATTTCTACCAATTGCTGCAAGCTCAGCTACTTTAGATTTTTATAAAGGATTAAATGATGTTAATTTATCTTATGGAAAATTTTGTGTAAAGGGAATGCATTTAGGTCTAAAAAGTACATTGTTTGATCGACTGTTAGTGTCAGATTCCATTTTATTACTTACTGGTTTTACCTTTGTAACAATTTGCATATGGGCATATACTGGTTCTTTTTTATTAACGATCACAACCATTATTGCAGTAATTTTTAGTCTTGGCATTTCATATGCATTTTATACTTTACTTTTGCATATAAAATTCTTTCCATTTATGAATCTCTTGGCAATTGTTGTTGCTGTAGGTAAGAAACTAAGAAAGTATATATGATAGTTAAATTTTCAATTTTAAAATACAAAAAATACAAATTATTTCATATGCAATTTTATTTTTTTTAGGAATAGGTGCAGATGATGCATTCATATATTGCAAAATTTGGGAAAGAAGTAAAGAACAAAAAATATCAAATAATGGATTGGTCAGACTGGTACAAGAAACAATGAAACATGCTGTTCCATCTATGTTTGTTACATCTTTAACTACTGCAGTAGCATTTTTTGCATCAGTTGTTAGTAATGTTACTGCTATAAATTGCTTCAGGTATATATATATATTTGAAAATAACTATTTGATTAATATTATAATATTTAAAAAAAAATAAATAAATTTGAAAATTACTAATACAAATCTTTAGTTTATTTTCAGGAATGACTGTTATTGCAAATTTTTTCTTAATGATTACTTGGTTACCAGCATGTGTCGTAGTGTCAGAACGATTTAAACTTGGTATTTTATCTCCCGCGAATTTTATAACACGAAAAATTATTAGACCTTTACGACTATTTGGTGATAAAATAACAATAGGTTTTAATTCTTTTCTTATAAAGATAGTTATTAATTTTCGATGGTGCTGGTTATTCAGTTTGGGTATTGTAGCAATAATATGTTATATTATTGTTTTTCAATATCCTGGTTTACAATTGCCAGATACTGCTGATTTCCAATTATTTGATAGTTCTCATCCATTTGAAAAATATGACTTGATATATGCTCGAAAATTTTGGTTTGAGAAACATGAAACAGTATGTAAAAAAAATATAATATTTCTTAAGATATATCTTTTTGAAAGATTTTGAACAATTAACAATTGCAGATTGATAATGGAGATATGTTGCCACTAAGATTTGTATGGGGCGTTAAACCAATCGATAACGGTAATTATTTAGATCCTGATTTAATTGGTACACCAGAGTGGGATGAATCTTTTGATGTATCTCATCCAGAATCACAATTATGGCTTGAAAAATTTTGCCATAATTTACGAGCACAACCTTTTTATCGTAATACGTTAGGACCTTTACTTCCTAACTGTTTTATTGAATCATTACGTAATTGGATGCAAAGACGTTGTGAAGATCCCATTGATCCACATATTAATTATATGCCATGTTGTGAAAAAAGTAAATTTCCATATAACTCAACTACTTTACAACGATGTGCAGCTGAAGCTAATGCAGGATTATATCGTACTCCTTCATATTTATGGGTTCGCAATGGTGTTTTTGCTGGTTTAAAATTTTTGAGGGAACCGAATTCGACACAATTACAAATATCAAATGAAACAAATTCAGTAATAATGCCAACACCTAAAATTAAAGCTTTAATTGTTGAATATGATAGCATATATAATTACAGTCTTTCTTTTTCAAATATGGATCAATTTTTTCATCAGGTATGTGTGTATGTGTGTATATATATATGAAATACATTAATTTTTTCTTAAATTATAATATAATTAATGAAATTAAAATTATATTTTTGTAGGTTGAAACATGGATGCAAAATCAGTTAAGAAATGCTCCATTAGGAATGCGTGGTGGTTGGTTTGTTAGTAGATTAGAATTTTATGAATTACAACGAACATTGTATGAAGGTACTCTTTGGGCAATGGGAGTTTCATTGATTCTAGCTCTCATAGTATTGGCTTTTGTGACATTTAATCCTCTTATCAGTTTATATGCAATTATAACTATTGGTGCAGCAATTACAGTAACAATTGCTGGTTTGATTCTTCTTGGTTGGAAATTAAATGTTTTAGAAAGTGTTACAGTATCTACAGCAATAGGTATTTTTTGATATAATTAATAATTTTAATTTATAAAATATACATATACATATATATTTTTAGGTTTAACTGTAGATTTTAGTTTACATTACGTAGTAAGTTATAGAGCATGTACTTCTAAAGAGAGAGAAGACAGAGTAAAAACAGCTCTTACACAAATGGGTGGTCCAACTTTAATGGCTTGTCTTACAACTGGTGCTGCTGGTGCTCTTATGTTACCTTCATGTGTATTAGCATATATTCAAATTGGTATATTTTTATTACTCGTAATGGGAATAAGTTGGATATATGCTACATTTTTTTTGTGTCCGATATTAGCAGTTATAGGTCCCTCATCTCATTTCGCTCAATTTCAATATCCTAGGTAAATATATTAGTAATAAATGTTTTAGTTTTTTTTTTTTTTCTCATTAATTGGATGTTGAAATTGCAGATTAAATCTATTATGGAATTATCTTCGTAAAAACAAGTCTGGAAATGTGCCTGATTCAAGTACAGATAATAATAGGGCTAGAAGAAAGATTAAAGGAAGAGGAATGTGGTCAGAATCTACTTTAAGTACATCTAGTACAGTATGTCAATTCCATTGTAATGAAATAGAAACTTTCACTAGACCACCGCCATCACCATCATTACCTCCATCTCCATCATCAGCATTACTTCAATAAGATAAAGATTAAATTATAAGATGAGTATATTTTAAAGAAAAAGAAAAATTCTAATTATGATGTTCCATAAACTCTTCCAGATTTTTAACAATGAATTTATTATTCATGTGTAACTTATGTCACATATAATCTATGATCATGTGTCACTAATGTGTCATTGGCTGTGTTCAAAATAGTTTTAAGATAATTATTTATATCTATTATTAATTCATTGGGCTTCCTATATCAGTTACGCAAGTATATGCATATATTATATCCATTGTGATATAAGTCAGGCTTTAAATGCCAAATATATCGCAGGCTGTTTTATATTTTATGATTTATTTTAAGTCTCAATTTTTAATAAATTTTGAAACTGTATTTTATGTTTATATATTTAATGTAACTGATAATATTGATAAAATGTTATACTATTAGACTTGCATTTACATATCTATGAATGCATTTTAACTTTTTTTTTATTAAAATTTATATAAAATATATTTGTAATTTTATGTAAATATAGATTTTTTTATATGCAAATATTAATAAATTTAATGATTTTTTATTTATTTTAAAATAAATTTATATATATACATATAATTTAATATGTTTTATTGATAATTGTATTATATAACTTTATTTATTAATTATTATTAAGAATTATATATATATTATTAAGAAAAATTAAATATGTTATTTGAATAAGTTTATCAAATTGATAATTCAAAGATTATATACAGAGATTGTTTTTTTTCTAAATGAAATATTATAATAAATTTAATAGAGTGAATGAATTTATTATATATTTAGAAATAAGAGAATATTGAATTAGTTATTTTATTGAATAATTGAATAATGCTTTCAACTTTATAGGAAGATGTATGCGTGTATGTCTGCAATTAAATTTAAGAAAAAATAACGGAATGTGCTATTATACATGATTTTATTTCGAGATTATTTATATTTATAAACTATATAACTATTTATAAAAAAAGACTGACAAATTTGTATAATTTTCATAGATGATATTGAATATGCAAAGAAAGTTTAAAACAATTTTTTTTCTTAAAATTTTAATTGTTTTTTAAATATTTTATTTAGAAGTTTTAATTTTGTTTAAATAAATATTCATTGTTCTGTATTAATTTCTGATATTTCGGTTAAGATAGTTTATATCTATGAACATTATATTTTTATCAAATTTGAAATATTAAATGTTATTGTACATACAACAAATAAAAACTCGTACACATTTCGTTATAAAAAGAAAAAGGTACAAATCAACAATTTATGTAATACTATATCATGCTTTGAAAAAATTAAATATTTATGCTGTTAAAAAAAATCCATTTTTATAATTACTGTATATGTGTTTATCAATTATTTAAATATTTATAACTATCGTATGTTAAGAATATTGATATAATCTAGAATGCATTGGCAATCTTTAATATATCTATGTGTGTGTGTGTGTGTGTGTGTGTGTGTGTGTGTGTGTGTGTGTGTGTGTGTGTGTGTAAAGAAAGTTTAAAACAATTTTTTTTCTTAAAATTTTAATTGTTTTTTAAATATTTTATTTAGAAGTTTTAATTTTGTTTAAATAAATATTCATTGTTCTGTATTAATTTCTGATATTTCGGTTAAGATAGTTTATATCTATGAACATTATATTTTTATCAAATTTGAAATATTAAATGTTATTGTACATACAACAAATAAAAACTCGTACACATTTCGTTATAAAAAGAAAAAGGTACAAATCAACAATTTATGTAATACTATATCATGCTTTGAAAAAATTAAATATTTATGCTGTTAAAAAAAATCCATTTTTATAATTACTGTATATGTGTTTATCAATTATTTAAATATTTATAACTATCGTATGTTAAGAATATTGATATAATCTAGAATGCATTGGCAATCTTTAATATATCTATTGTGTGTGTGTGTGTGTGTGTGTGTGTGTGTGTGTGTGTGTGTGTGTGTGTGTGTGTGTTATAATATAGTAATGTATGTTATGTATTTCATGTTAATGCGCATCTTCGTTAAAACAAATATTTATTCAATATAAATTATGTTAAATATGTGAGCATACTATAAAAAAATGATTTTCGCAATAATCTCATTCACATATTCTCGATAAAAATATTTAGTAAACTATTTTAAATAACGATTATTTAATATTTACAAATACGAATATATTTCGGAAAATTGTTATTTTATAAAACGTTATTTTCAGAGATTAAAAATATATTTCGATGAAATTGCCTTTATTGACAAAATTTATAGAGAATCAAAAGTGGATGTGTATGTAAATATATTAAAACATACATATTAATATAATTAAACTGAAAATTTAAATTTAATTATAATATATTTATTAATTTAAGTTACTTTATAAATATATCTACCTGCGAAACAGGGCGTGAAAAAAAAACATTGATTTAAAAGATTCGATTACTAAAGTATAATGCTTCTTAATTATATTTTAGGTATTTATACACGACGACGACGTTTCAATAATATTGGACTTATAGGATCAGTTAATGGCCGTTTTTCGACTTTTGGTAATTCTATTTTATATCTTCGAATCGGTTGAGCTTTATGAACAATTTGTTTTCGTAACTGTGCGATTTCTTCTTCTTCTTGTTTCTTTTTAGCAGCAATTTCCTATTATTTCCATTTTATTATTGTACGTATTATAATCTTGGAAATAGAATATATTATTAATGAATAAATTACAGAACACTTTACCATTTGTTTCTGTAACTCTTTTTGTCTTTGTTTTTCTTTTATAATCTCGTCAAAGCGTTTTCTTTCTATCGCTCGAATTTCTGAGTGTAAAGGTCCTATTTTTGGTGGTTCTAACTTCTTTTTTGATAAACATGGTGTAAACGGCGGTTTTTTCCAAAGCTAGATTATTTAATAAAATTAAAAATGTTTCATTAAATTATTTAATAAAAAATATACTATTCATATAATGTATAATACATGAATTAATTAATAATATTATATAATAAGTATTAAAATTAATAATTAATTAAAATTGATTTCAAATAAAATTTGTTTAATTATATACCTCGGTATTCTTTTTAATTTGCTTATTGGGAACATCAACTTTTTGATTCTTTTCGTTTTTATTGTTATTTATTGGTTCAATTTTAATTCGATTTTTTATAAACTTTGGAATGGGATTTGCATGAAATATTTTTATTTTTTTCTCTTCTTCCAATATCTAAAAGTAATGAAAAAAATCACAATATTTTTTAATATCTTAATATATTTGTAACAAAGATTTGCATACCTTTTTAACGTGTTTTTGTTTTTGTTCTTCTTTTTGTTTCTGCATATTTTTTGATCGTAAATCAAAAGAGAATGGATGCATCTTGACATTCTGCGATTTTTGTATTTTATTACAAATCTCAGTTTTAACATTAGATTCCTAAAATATTGATCTCAAGTTAATCAATTTAGATAATATTCTTTATCCATTATCAACGTTACATACCTGTTTAATGCTAACATTATGCACTATATATTCCTCTTTTTCTTCCTCATGTTGATTGACATACAATGGGTTTTCATATACTTGGTTAATGTTAACATCATGCACTACGTTTTCTTCCTTTTCTTTTTTCTCTTGATTAACATACAACGGGTTTTCGTATACTGTTTCATTTTGTGTTTCGGACAAAGAGAAATTTTTTAAAGATCTAGGAAAGAATTAAATGATATTTTTTTTTTATTATGGATAAAAAGAAGACAAAAAAATATGTTATGTTTGGAAATTCACAGTTGTAATTCTTACGTGATCAATGAATCGTCTTCTGTAATTAAATTCGGAAGTTTTTCTTTTGCAAGATTCGGATTTGGTGTACTTACAACTACAGTCACTCTATCTGTATATGATCAAAGAATCCATCAATTTTATTAATCATGATTGAATAAAACGAGGTAGAAAAATTTTGGAAATTTTTAAACTTCTATTCTTTAAAGATATCATTCATTACTTACTAAAAAACGAATCTCCAATATCGGGTAAATTTGAAAAATCAACAAATTGCGGTGATTGGATCGCATCCCATTTCTCATCTTTTTTCGAATTTTTATTCTTCTGCCAATCATCATCTTGACATTCCGGCTTGACATTCTCCTTCTGCCACAATTTTCGAGGTGGTACTTTCGTAGTATTCTTGGAGTATGTAACCGGTGTTATAGCTTGTCCATATTTTATATTCATCAATTTTGTGGGTGCGTGCATTATCTAAAATTCCAGAATCTTGTCAATTTTATGTTATGAAACAAATATAAAATTGATTATATTTTTCACAAAATTAAAAAAAAAAAAAAGAGAAACAATTTTTACTCTTTTATTACTTTTAATAATAATTTAAAAATCATCCAATGCTTTATTTCGAAATTAACTAAATACTTCACAACTGTCGTATGTTTACTATTATGAATAGGTCAAGTTGAATTTAATTTCTGGAGGAAACGAAACACACGAGAATAACAATGAATAGCGATTATAAATATTGTTGTATAGAAAAAGAAATATAAGTCGTAAAAAAATTATCATATGTTAATAAGAAATATATCGAATTCAGATTTCATTTCTTTATAATTCATAAAAATTGTACGATGTTTTATAAATAATCGATAAAATTAATATATAAAAATAATTATATTTTGTTAATAGTTATAAATTAATAAGTAATAATTATATTGTAACATAACATTGTAGTAAATATAACGAGTTGCGCGCGATCATTGATATTATGTACACGTGAACATTTCTATGGATACAAATGTTCACAACAAAGCACGGGCCATATCGTTGTATCGTTTTCTCTAAATAAATTTGTTAAATATGATTAATCTTTCTTCTGTTCAACAATCGCAATTGACACAGTTTCACTACTCATTTGCTTTCATTCCAAAAAAGAATTATTTTAAAAATCTTGTGATGACATCACAATCTATAATTCATATATTGCGTTACAATATGCAACAACTTTTAAAAAGAGAATTCAACGATGAATTCTAATATTGAAAATAATATCTCGATTTAAAGAAAAACTACGAACATGCACGGCTTACGGTAAGAAAATAATTAATTTCTCCTTCTCTAATCTCTTTACTTTATTGTTTAAAATTAATCTAATCACCCGATTTTAAAATGCAAAATATATAGATTTTGAAACGAAATAGATAAATTTAATTTTTATTATCTATAATTTTCAGAGTTGAACACAATATTAGCAGCTTAGGTACGAGTCGCTGGCTAGAGGCTCTTTGGGAACCAGCTGCCAAATTGTACACTTTACCAAATGGGTTAGATATGCTCGATGTAAGCGGCGATGGAGATGCCAGGCTTGTCTGTGCTGATTTGGGAGCTCTCGACATCAATTCGCCTAAAGTGAGATACAATTTTTAATAATTAAAAAAGATCATTGTACGCCCTTCCCAAATACATATCCTATAAAATATAATCCTTTATTAATATTGCATACATTTGTACAAATCATTTTCAGATACGAGTTTACAAAGGAGGCGATCAGATAACGGAGCACAACATGGTAGATCTACCTTGTGGGGTGGTCGGTTTTTACACGCAAAATGGAGAATCTCGATCCTCCGTGGTGGCAGTGGGTGTTGGTTCTAGCGTCTACATCTTTAAAAACATGAGACCCTACTTTAAATACTGTTTGCCTCACATCGAGGTACATCCAAAAGAACGAGAGGTACAGAAGATTCTTTTTCCCTTAAATTTAAAGAAATACAAATACTTTTTTCGATTTACAAAATTGACGGTAATCTGTTGATAGATTTGGCACAAGGCTGGACTGGACGAAGAATTGAACGTGCTCACATTAGCCGACGAACTGGATCTGTTGTTAAAGGAACTTGGGGCTGGATTCATTTCACCGAGAACGTTGAAATTCTTATGCATGGATAAGAATTTGAGAGCTAGTTTCGCAGAACAGTACAGAAGGATTCCACTAGTTAAAAGTAACGCCTTAACTGCGATTTCTGTGATTCGAAGAGATTCGTGGAACGATCCAGCAAGTAGTTGCCTCGTGCTGGGTACGGAATTTGGAGAAGTACTTATATTGGATCCTCGGTATTATTTTATTATACGCATATTTTTGAATAATTAAAAAATTATAAGTAAATCACTAAATTTATCTATTTGTTTTAGAACGTTCTCCATTATGGATAAACATTTATTGCAATGGCCACCGGTTGCTTTCGCGTGTATAGGTTTATGGGCAGGCGATGGAAGGATATTAATTATCGGAAGGGACGGTAAAATAGGCGTGATAAGGAGAGGAAGCTCTGTCAAACTTTGGGAAAAATTATCGTCACCAGCTGTAGCTATTTCAGCCCTTAATAACGAGGGCATCGCGGTTACCACGATGGATGGCACATTGATCGGTTTCTCCAGAAAGGTATACGAGATATTTCTTCTTTATTTCGAGTATAAATCATAGCCGATAAATTAATCCGTAACAGGGAATTAAACTTTGGTACGTTCGCGTTCCGGGAGCAATTTTGGATTCGATAAGTTTACCAGTTCCTCAAATTGGACTCTCTTTGCTTGCTGTGAGTACAGCTGGATATGGCATCCGTGTATACGATGGGAAGCATCACGTAGACACGTTGAAGATTATGGAACCAGTTTCAGCTATGAAGGTATATCTCATATATGTAGGCGGAAAATTAATTTTTTAAGCTAAATATTAACGATAATTGTATTCCTTTTTTTCTTCTTCTTTGAAATAGTACGGTAAAATGGGTCAAGAAGAACGAACAATGGCGATGGTCACCGTAGGTGGTGGCCTCTGCGTGAAAATTTTGAAACGCACCGCCGATTTCAGTATTCACAATGCGCTGTCCGATCTACCGATCAACGACGGTTCTAAATTTTTGATACCGAAGAAAACGCGACTGTTCGTCGAGCAAACGATACGCGAAAGATCAGAGGCAAAGAAGATACACACTACTTTTCAACAAGGTCTTCTTCGATTGAGATTAATGGTAGCCAAAAAAGTAGCCGAATCTTTGAACGACAATCAAGTCGCTGGATCACACTCTCTTACCATGGAAGCTACCGTTTTAGGGCTGGGACCGCATTATCAAATTCGTATTCTGTTGACGAATATATCCGACGAGTTGTCCGACACGGATCTGTACATCGTTTGTAGGAGCGAGAACATAGAGGTGAAACCACGTCTGATGGACGTACCTCTTTTACCGAGCGGTGTTCCGATTCCATTTGTCGTTAACGCGATTTTGAACGGTAGAATATCGGGAAGGATGGAAATTTTGGTGTGTAAGAAGTCGAAAACGAAACCAATTACCGTAACGACAGTGATTTTACCTGCTCCTGAAGAAGATATCGAAGTCTAATTATATAACGAAGATATCTAAGTTTTGGAATCTGTAGAAATCTGTAAAAAAAAATTTCCTATGTATTTTATTTAATGTTGATACATATTTAATATTTAAATTAATATTTAAATGTTGATACATTTTTAAAAATGTTATGAATATATATATATATATATATGTATATATAATTGTGTAAATTATAAAATTGATTTTTGAATTAATATTTTGTTTATTTTTCATTAAAACTATATGATATTAAGTTTTTGTTGCCTCTATTAAAGATTAAAACACATTGTTTTCGAAAGAAAAATGATAAAAGTATGTTCGATTTATATTTCGTGTGATCGCGCGCTAAAAATCAAATAGAACGTGCTAGACAAGGAGAACAAATGATGCAAGAAAGATGGAGATACGTAAAAATTATGAAATCAGCGCCATCTTCAGAGTGCCGCAAATTAAACATAAATAAAAAGGATAGAAAATAGTGAGAAAAGGATAGAGAATAAGAATTGACCGTCAGCGTCATCTCTCGGGTACCGAAGACACTTTTTTAAAAGATAGGATAAAGTAGATTAAGAATTTAAGTTCAGCGCCATCTTTTAAATGTTAAGAGAAACTCTTTGAGAAAAGGTTTTCGAAATATTCGAGAGATGGCGCCACCAGTCAATTCTTACCCTATTTCTATCCTTTTCTAACTATCTTCTGTCCTTTCTTCGTGAGTTTCATTTGCGGCACTCTGAAGATGGCGCTGATTTCAATATTTTTACACTATCTCTGTCCTTCTCTCATCATTTACTCTCCTTGTCTACATTCACTCTACAAATTCATGCGTTCAAAAGACGGAACCGATACTATTTGAATTAACTTTCTTGCCTTCTTTCTTCTTCTTTACTTCTAATCGAATTGATTGGGGAAACTTTAAGAGTTTATTCAATATATTATATATATATATATATATCTATTTTTATATATTGTGTACATATATCATATACACATTTTCCCGTTTCTATTATTAAATGAAACATTTAGAAAAATATACGTATCATCAACTAGACATTTCATTCTCATTCTCTATCCTCCTACTAATTAACTTAAATATAAATTTTCTCCATTCCATCTTTCGAAACTACGTAAAATATATGATATATTACAATTTTATACTACACAAAGCGTTCGATATTAAACAGAATACTTAAAAAAAAAAAAAAAGGATTACAATGTATTTAATGTAGATAAATATCCTTACAACATAAAAATTCGCGACAAAATAAAAATGACTTTCTAATTTCTATACTATTTCAGGCAACTGTCGTTCTACCCAATATCAGAACCAGGAAGAATCAAGAAATCGATGGAGGAAGAGAAGATCTAGCAAGAAGATCGCGGTAGATCGGTTTTCACGCCACATGGAACAACAACCATTCGCATCCGCGAAACGAGCGTTTGATCGAGCTCCCCGATACAGGCTGCCATACGATTTACTGTCATTCGCGCGTGCGAACATCGGCCTCTAGATAAAGAGAAGATCCTCCCTCCCCTCCCTCTGAATCGTAGTACTCCCTCTATCGATTGCGTTATGTTGCCGCTAATTTGGATTTATGTTCGCATTCGCACGTCGCTCGATGGCTCGCGCCGCCACCGACAGAATCTCCTTGATCGAATTCCCTTCCCCCTTCCCCCTCCCCCCTCCCCCCTCCCCCCTCCTCCCGCTTTTTTTTCTCTCCCCTTATCTCGTTCGCAGAAAATTCTGCGAATTTGCGTTGTACGAATAGAGCAGAGGGAGGAGTGGAATCGAGATTTTTTTTTTTCGGAAGGAGACGAAACATTTTCTTATTATCGAATTATTATAAGGATGATTAATTTTAAAAATTTACAATTTATCGATAACAATAAAGTATTTATCTTTCATTCTTTCAGAGACAAACATCTCTTTCCCAAGTGTGTCACAAATTTTCTTTGTATCACAAACAGACGAAGGGGGGCACACAACGCTCAATTAAGAAGAATGTACAGATATCTATCCACGATAGATTGTATCTCATTTCTCTCGAACGAAAAAAAAACGACGAAGCAATATATACATATATAAGACGTAATCTTACGTGAAAATCTTACGTGTCCAAAGCTCGCTCAACTC